GTGTGTGCCCCTGTTTTGTTTCCCTGGAGGTGTTTTATTCTGCTTCCAACTGGGTCCGGTCAAAAGAAATGTTGTCTGGTCACAATATGTGTGCTCAGACAGACAGAGAGAATTTACAGGTGGGAAACATTCCTTTTCAGTATGGTTCACCTCCAAACAGGCAAAGAGAAACACAGCAACATGACAAGATAACAGGGACCATCTGGGTTGCCTTGCCGTTGTTTTTTTTTTGTGCCTTGTGAGTTGGGGAATCTCCCTCAGGGTTTGTCCTACACTATTTAATGTGACAGCAAGAGCACCAATAGGGATTCAAACCAATGTAAAACAAAACTGAACATAACCAATAGATTACAGGTCAGGAAATGTAAATCATGAGTCCACTTTGTGGCAGTTTTATACAATGGAAATTTTTAGGATTTCGCTGATCACAGAGAGCAAGCTTGCTCAACTTTTCCAAGTTTGCAAATGTCCTTTTGATACATGAGTATTGCCAGTCATGTAATAATAATTACTGCTCTTGCAGCTTTTTATTCTTGTAGAAACAATGACTATTCGGATGTGTTTTTTTTTTGTTTTTTTTTGTATGTTTAACATTGTTCTCATGACAAAGTCAAAGGTTTATATTATATCATTTACCAAGTTACTACTTAAGACACATTTTCTTTCTTTCTTGCCTGCTTGCTTGGTTTCTATTGCTGTAAACAAGATAAACCTACCTGTGACCAGAGTCCTAGTCAGGACAAGGACCACAATAGAGAAGTACATTTTCCACAGTCAGCGAATCCATAAACCCAGAAAACTGCACAGCACTTTCACAAGCAGCTATATTCAAGCAGTGCCTGACTCCACGACCCACCAGAGCCCTCACCCACCATTAACTCTCCTCTTTCTCCTCTTTTCAGTGTAATATGAAACAGCAAACGCTCTGTTCCCACTTAGAAACTCCCACTCTCTCTCTCTCTCTCTCTATGACTGTCTCTCCCTCCTCTCTCTCTTTCTCTGTGCGTCCTGGAAAACATAGGGAATGTCATTTCCTGTGTTCCTGTGAGGAGTCTTGGACTGTGGCCCAAAATCTCAGAACTTGATGGTCAGGTCTCATGATTTGTGTGTGTGCATGCGCCTGCCACATTGTCTCTCATTTTGAGAAGCATATACTATGCAGTAAAGAACATACAGTATCCATCACACAAGTTACCCTTAGAGTCAAGGTGTAACACAAATCTTGCATCTCCAAATAAAGCAAGTTTTTTTGTGTTTGTATGCATGTGTTCATGCATTTAAGTGGATGTGCATGTGTTGAGACCTCACCCTGTCTAACTGCTGGACAGAGTGGCATGGGCTTGTCTCTAGCTGTGGTTGTCGGACTGTCCCAGTGGTATGAAGCCTGCTGCTTTATTGGGCAGGCCAAATTGCTGAGGCAGGGCTTCTCGAGCCCTTCGAGTTCAACCAAAGCCACACAAATGGAATCACACAACAGATTTAACCCTTCAGGCCATATTTAGGAGTCTCTTGAAAAGAACAAATTTCATGGAAAATGTATTGACTGGATTGATCAGGTGGTTTAATTTTTTTCTAAATTTGATAAATCCTTTGCTTTGAAAAGATAGTATATTTATATACCTCTTAGTACAAACTGTATTACAAGTGTTATCATTTGTGGGTCATAGTTCAATATGTCAAAATGATAATTGTGGCATTATAGCTACATCTTTAAGTTGGGGTTTCCCTCAAGTTTTCCTTTGCATACTTGAAGTTTTACAAGAAGTTCAAGCCTTTGCTCCAGTGGGGGAATCGCTCTCCTCTGCCCTGCAGTGGCCAAAGCAGGCTACTGCTTTTCAGC